GAGTATTTGCAAGCTTTTGTATTGCAGTAATTCTGTTTGCAGCCATTGCACATCAGCTGTGCATGCTGATCCTGGATTTGTTTTGACCGGTTTTTGTTTTTATTAGTACGGTTTGCTTGTACAAACAGCCACAGGAGCTGCCCAGCAAGAAGGTCACAGCCCTGCTACACAAACACTGCTCTTTGCAGGGTTCAGCATTAGCTCCTGTACCCATTACAAGTTTCTTTTCATCTCCTCAAGGAGCAGACCACACGGCCTGTTCCTTGGGGTGCCTATGGGGACCCAACGGTGTCCAGCCTGCAGCACAACGAGAAGAGCAAGCCTGCTCCTCCTGCTATAACCTCTTTGCTCACTGCACGCAGCTGTGGCTCGTGATGGCCCTGCTTTGGCTCAAGGATGAAGCTGTGCTTCCTGCCCTCTCTGGAGCTGCCTGCAGCTGAAGGCGTAGGCAGCCTTAACTTCTAGCTCAGCTCCTAGAAGCTGGAGACTGCTCTAGCGCGATACATCCCGAAGACCTATCGATGTAATAAAACGGAATGAGAACCAGTCCCATTTAATCAGACCTGTATGAGGGAAAAGGTAACCCAACAAACACCCACCCAATGCCAGGTTTTAACTGATGGTAAGCAAGAGTTAACAGATTTGTGTTTAGAAACTCCGACATGGAAGCTTCCCTGCATGGGCTAAATACAACTGCAAACCCAAATACATCCTCAGGTGCAGCTACACAGCCCCACATCTCTCCCCAGTAACAGCTGTGTAAAGTCTGTTAGTCTTTTGGCTGTTAACATCCATGTGACTGTAGGATAAAACTTAGACAAATTTTTTTTTTTTTTTTAATTTGCAGATTGCTAAAGTTAGTTGTGGGGGTTTTTTTGCCCCAGTAGGAAAAGCGCAGCTCTGAAAATAAATCTAAGCCTATTATCAAACCCACTTCCACTTTTCTTAGTCACTTTTCACAGAGGCTTAGAAGCCATCTGTGAAGTCCCTAAGATCAGAGCATCACAAGCTGAAAATCTCTATTTTAGACAATGCAGCTGCACAAACCGCAGTTTGGATAATAGGGACTTTGTTACTGGTCGTCACATAGATAGCGGAGAGAACCCTCTTCGACTTTCCCAGAGCAGGGTAAGATTTTTAGGTATTAGCAGCTAGAAAAAACACTCCATTTTTACTTGTAAACTGAGCAAGGAAGTCCATAGACATGAAGCTTTTCTCACTGCCTTTTCCATTGATTTACTCTTCAGAATTGAACTGAGCTTTGAATTAATGTGCAAATCTGACAAAGGACAAAACAACATTTAAATTACCGTTGATAAATACCCAGCCAAAAGTAATTACTTCTTCTACTGTGGCTCATTAAGAAAGTGTTTCACTAAAGTTGTAGTGTTAAATAATGGAGGAGATGACAGAGGTAAGGTTCAGCATGCTACTGCGCAAATGTGAAAGTGTTTGTAAAATGCCCAGATAGGATTTTCAAAAGGCTGGATCTTTCTCTCTGTATTTCTTACCTACCTTGGTTCTTCCTAACATCTCTTTACTGACAAAGAGTATCTTGTCATTTTTTTCTGGCTGGTGAGAACCAGGCAGGCTACAAAGGGTTTGCAGGGAGATGGTAAAGGGGAGAGAGAGTGCTGGATTTCAGAGGACTTAAGCTGAAGACCACCATGGCTACTGTAGCTGAGCTCAGAGTGCAAGAATATGTGGAGAGGATGTGTTTGAGCTGGGAGTGTTAGAGGGGGCTGGATACTGGCCTGCAGAAGGAACTCAATGCCATTATATAAAATACAAAGATTAGAGTAGAGGGGTGATGGGAAAATGCTGGATAATGCCAATATGACCACTGACTGAATTCACATAGTCAAATTCTTTTCTGCATTATGGTTTTGGCTAGGTATCACAGCCCTATAACCCTGTTGCTACAGTAAGGATAGAGAACAATAACTGATAGAATATCATCTTGCTTAACAGCTTGGCTTGATTTCTCCCATTGTGCTCGAACTTCACATTGCAATATCTCTATGATAACTAGGCGTAAATGGACAGTGCTAAGCACCGAGAATCACGGATTCCTGAGTAGAGAAATAACTCCTGTGATCGTGTCCCATGACCAGCCCACAGAGTTTTACACTCCTAGCATACTCATTTCATACTGTCCTGTTTATTAATTTATCATGATTCATCTTTCAAATATTTAGTCAGTTTGTTCTTGCCCCCATTATTCCTATTGCAAAGCAGCTCCAGAAGCCCAGAGCTCTCATACTGGGAACCCTCCTATTTCCAGCAGCTCCAGAAGCCCAGAGCTCTCATACTGGGAACCCTCCTATTTCCAGCCTGAAGTTATTCATGGCCAGTTTATACTCATGGCTCTTATTTGATGCTGCAGATTCTACACACGGAGAGTAGAGAGTCACAAAATGCAATCCATATTCTCAACAGGCTAGTACTTTAAAACCAGTGTACAGCTCTTAGCCTACACCTTTCGTTAGTCAACATCAAACTGGTTTAGAAGCCTGCAGCAGATTTCTTACTGCCTTTAGCAAAAGAAGGAACAGAAGTGTGATGCTGTTTGCAATGATCCATCCACAGCTTTAAATAGCCCAGGTATTTTGCTCAGTGGAAGTATGTTGAGGGTAAGATTCTTAGGATTACATGGATAAAGCATCTGGAAAACTAACTTTCAGGAAACAAACCCTCTGTATTAGTTACATAGCTTTATCTGTCAAAAACCAAGAGTGATCTCCAAATGAGAAGCTGCTACAAATTTCAGGTGATACAACTGCCCTGTTTCCATTTCAACTGGAAAAGCCTACTGACCTTGCTGGCTCTAACATTACCTGAGGTGAGACCAGAAGAGATATAGTGTTGGGTCAATAGATACCGATACCTGTGAATCCAATACTGACACCTGTGTATCTAATTCACGCCTTTGCTTTCTGAAACTGTATCCACCTGCATTGCTTTTTATTAACAGGCCATTATCAATGTGCCTCTGGCAAATTCACTGCTAGTGGAAAGGTAAGCACGTCCCTTGATACGGTCTAAAATGATTTATAAAGAATGGAGAACGACCATGGGACATGTGGCAGCAAGTAGGACAGAAGCAGTGGAAAAAGCCACTTGCCCAAGATTCCCGGCCAGTAACAGGCTAGTGTGTCCCAAGCCTCTTTGGTAAGACAGAATTCCTTCCGCAGCCGGCTCTGAAAGTACGGGTCACTGCTTTTAGGAGCGTTTGGCTCTGCGGTCAGCCTGTATCCCCCTGCGAGGCAGGGACAGCTCTCCTAACTTCTTTCGGCAGACACCGTGGAAAGGACTCCACCCGCAAGGGCAGAGGAGTGAATTACGTCTTCTAATGCACCAGACAAATCCTGCACCCTGCTTACCACCAACACTGCAAAAAAAGAGGTCACCTGCAGAGGTCACTGGCTCAGGAGCTCTTGCTGGATGCTATATCTTCTTTGCCCACGTTAAAAATTATCTCAAAACCAATGTCAAACAGTTTTCCAGGGCTTCAGCCTAACTCTCGGCCTCAGGAAGACAGAACATATATGTTAGTCTGATCCTGACAATCTGGAGGGGACACCACACGTACCCAATGATGATTAATTCCCATGTGCAGTAGAAAATTTCATCTAAGTGGGAAATTTTGTGGAGAGGAGGCCTTCTTAGAGATTAAAGAGGCCGCAGACTACCCAAAGCTTGCAAGGCTTTTGGGAAAACTCTGATGAAACTGGTGGGCAGAACAGATTGGGAACAAAACTTTTTGTCTACAAGGCAATAGTCACGACATTCCTACTTTATATGCATCATATTTGGACTGCCCAGAGCTGCTAAATTAGGGAACTCTATCAATTCTGTCTAAGTTTCCTCAGAGAATTTTGCAGGAGACAAAAGGCAGTAGAAAGTGAAGTCCAAAGATGTATACAATAAGAACAAAAACATAACTGAATGTCCTGTGGTGAAATGAAATTTGATAAACTCTCAGCTTAAAAGATAGAAAGACATCCAGCCAGAAATACATATTTCCACTGACATACAGAAACACGATGGTCTGACAGAGAAAAAAACGTTTCTGAAGACAATTTATTTATGGCTTAATGACATTTAAAGCAACTATTATTAAGTTAGCTGAAATGAAAAAGAAATCACTGGCAAATTGGAAAAGAACAACCCTTAGGTCAATCTGACAAATTTGTTATCCTGCATGTGGGAAAACATCCCTTGCAAAATTTGAACTTCACAGCTGGATGAGAACACATAAGCAAATTTAATGCAGAGCATAAACTGTTGGTCGTCACCGTCAGCAGCAATGTACAATCAGAGCACACCATGTAAATGAGAAATGACCGTCCTCTCTCCCCTTGTTTAAAGCCGCATGGAAATCCAGATTTACCATCAAAACTAAGGTGTCCCCATTTCATGCCGGGACAAAGCTTTCTTGCAGATTTACTCAAAGCCATTTAACACACAGTGTTTGAAAAGGGTTAAATGGCAGATCCTAGAATCCCCTCGATCTCTCCATAGCCTTCGCCTAGCAGCATTGCATTTCCATTTGAACTACAAATGACCCTGAACACACAATCATGTAATTCATATTTATATAAACAGAGGGTACAGTATGTATAATTTGAAAGATTTCTGGGAGGGGATGCATCATCGCTAAACTCCTACTTTTCCCTTGGGGAAACAATCCCATTTGGTTTTAGTTAACTTCAAAGGCGAAAAGTATTTTCCCTTCTGTGTCAATAATTTAACAGAAATTTGTCATTTCTGTCCACAAATCAAACTTTCAGAGTTGCCCCAACTGTTAGCAGTAAAGCAATGACACACACCCGTGCAAGTGTGCACGCCCCCCCTGCACCAACCCAACGTACAGAGCACAACTACTGCAACACAATGAAATGCTCCTGCAGCAATTTCTAACCATGGAAATTGAGTTTAGTTTCACTGAATTGCCAGAAACCTCTCCACACTGGGGAGTTGTATTTCCAAGCACATACCATGGGACCAGGACCTTTGGCGACATGTTGTTCCAATTTGACTGAGGTCGGGTTGTGGGCCAGGACTTTCAAATCATAACCAGCACAGAAATTACCTCCTGCGTAACTTCACAGAAAAGTGAGACCGTGCAGCAGCAAACCCAGGAAAGCTTCGTTTTGGGGTCAGTGCAGCTTTAAGCATCGTTAACATATTTTTTCTCTCAGAGGTTGTCCAAGAGATGCTTTGGGGGAGGCTGAACGGACACTGTTTGCTTTTATTTGGAAATTTATGTTGCCCTGATTGCCTAATGCAGAATTTGGGGGAGAAAAAAGTATGAACATTTGAGGCAACAGATTTGGATTAGAAAACTTTACATATAAATCCTAGGCAATCATCACTTTTTCCCAACCCATTCACTGTCTGTAGCACAGAGCTAGGAAGGCATTATTTTCAAAAGGAATTAATAGAAAAATTAGTCATGTCTATTGTCTATAATAAAGCATACAGTTTAATTCATAGCAAGTCAAACTCCCCCAGTTTTAAAAATCTGCAAATATATTACCCAAGCCACGTAAGGGCTGCGGCTCTGCCTCGGTGGGAACAACTGGAACCCTGGATGACACCAGGTTGATATGGCCGTACTTTCAGATCCCTCACTGTCAAAGCCTCAGCACGGTCACTGGGTGTCACTTGCGACTGAGTCCAGCTTTCTCCAGTCATTTGCTTCTCGGCAGAAAGGGTTACTAGCAGCTTCCTCGCTTGTGAAACTGATTTTAGGTCAGACTCCAGGCATTTCATAATGGAGTATAATGTTTGATAGACCTGTTCAAATATAGTGTAAAAACGTAACAGCTAGAAATATGTTCTTAAGTACAGGCTAAACATGTACCCTGCTTTCAAGTGGTTTAGTTTCATTTAGAAATTATTTGAATTATAAAATTCAATGGGGCTTTGGGCCCTATAAATAAGTGATATTTAGAGATATAGTGCCAGTAGATTGGGGTAGTTTGCTTGACATTTCATTGAGATTACACTAATTTAAACGATCTGAAAATGTGACTCATAAATTAAGATATTTAAATAGGAAGTAACAGTTCTAATACAGTGCTCTCTTTCAGCTGTGTAAAATATAAGCAAGAGAAGACAAAGTACTCTGTTTTTACTGACATTAATGCCTGTTTACACCACTGTGGAAATTCAAAGGTCCTTACAAAGGTGTAACTTATATCTCAAGTCTGCAAGGAAAAATCATAGGATACTCTGAGCAGCTCGCTGCAGCACTCCGTTTCTCACTAACAGCACTACGTGCTCAGTAACACCCGCTTCCTTAGCACTGCAGTAACTAAATGCACACCTAAGATTTTTTTTTAACATTTATTAAATAGCTTGTTGGAGAACTAGTGAGTGGCAAAGCACTAACAGATATAAAAGAAGGCTGAAAAGTTGTACGGACAACCTTAATTCTTCTCTCATAGCCCAATAGTTCCTCTTTCCACTCGTCATTTTAGTGTTCTCTAACCCAAGGCAGCAATGAGGGGACAAGCCTCTTTCCTAATCTGGGTTTGCTAGATGTTTGCCACCTCCTGAGGGCCTTTTTCATTGCATAAGCACGTGCCTCAGCAGCTGTTACGGCAGTTGTGAATCATTGCGAGTCCTGAACTTTTAAATGAACACCTCTGCCTTCACCCCAGGCAAACAGCTCTGTCCTTGGGGCTATCAAAAGTTTTGTGCAAGGACGTGCCCCAGCAGCAGTCAGCACATGCCCTCAAGTACAGAGATGCACCAAGGCGTACCAACAGAAAATGTGGCCCACTGCTTTGCAAGTGGGCAGTTGGCATCCATGATCTGAACAACACAAGGATGGATGATGGATGGAAAAAAGCACGTCTCTCCAGGGAGCGGTAAACCCATCCAAAGCACTTCATTCACAGAAAAATGGCATTCTTCCTCTTTGTTGAGATCCCTGTTGCTCAACTGCTGCACGTATGGTAAAGTATTACAATGAGAGAAGAGTGTGAGGTACTTCATCTTCCCCCAAGGAAGAAAGCACCCTTTCCAGAGACAGATGGGTAAAGGAAAGCTGAAAGAAAGAAGCCTACGAAGACTGAATGCCTGACGCAAGCGCTACCAGCTTACAGGGCCAGCTAAAGCTGGGTTACAAACAAGGATACAAACAGATGATTCAATCTGTTAAAAAAAAAAGTAAAAAAAAAGGTGTAGATTGAAGTTGAAGCTTTGTCACTGTATGTATGACATCAAGAAGAGAAGATGAAACCGATTTTGTTTTCCTGCAACAGGAGTGATGCAAAATCATGTCGTCCCATAATGAACAGAGAGGAATGTCCTGCTCTGGGACAGGAATTCTCCTGAAAAGACAGTATGTTGACTCCTAATGAAGTGTGTTGCCTGCCAATAGGTTAAGAATGAATTCATGCCTTTGGACGGTCTTCTGAACTTTTCTTGGGCCTGTTGTGAAAAATGAGGATGTATTCCCCTGCGGATAGGAAAAGGCCCTTATATTGAAAGTGGAAAAACACATACAAAAAAAACGTGTTGGTTCTTTATCCTTGAGATGGTCAAAACAGAGTATAAAGATGCCCTTGAAAGAAGAGATAAATATCTCAGCACATGAGTTAGTCCCAGTGCTGTGCTGGATTAGTAAATGCATATGCAAATCTCTCATGAAACCACTTTTTGGAAGACATTAAAAAGGAGCACTTCATGAACACTGAGAGTCAGCAACAGCTGTATAAACCTAAATGCCTACCTGCATCCCAAATTGAAAATGAATTAAAAGATAACCAAGATTTTTTTTCACCCATGAATGCTAAAGATATGCTGACACAAAATTAACTTTTTATTCAAGCTCACAGTATGAATGAAGAAAATATCATGTGTAGAAATCTAAAAAAGGGGAAAAAAAGAAGAAAAGAAGGAGGAAAAAAGTTTATAAATGGTTGAAAAACAATGAATATTCTGGATAAAAAGGTGTCCAAGAACTACTGTTCAAGAGTATTAAATCTGCGTCTGTGAAAGGCACATGATAGGGTTCAACTATTGCGGTTAAGCAGGTTTTAAAAATTACTGTATCTGAAGTAGGCTCTAGGGCTATTAAGCCACTCACTATGGACCAGACTTAATAATGTTCAAATATATGTTCTAGCAAGGACCTTTGAACTTTTGACATTCCTAGGGACATACAGGATTGGGCAAAACACACAATTATATATTCCAAATCAAGAGTCAATATAGTATATGGTAGCACTTATGCAGCAAAGGAATTATTTACTTTCTCGTACTGCATCCAATGAACCACGGAATATAACATTTTTTATTTCTTGGTGGTAACTGTCAAAAAGCATTTAGTTTTGGGGAGATGAAGAGGGAATGCACAAAGAAGTGTAGAATAATTATGTGTTGAAAATTAAACCCAGTTGTCTGAACTGGGAAGAACAATGTAATGTACCAAAGGAGGTCTAAAGTGTTTTGGCCAACAAACTTAGAGGTCATCCAAGATGACATATTTTGTGAATGAGAGGCAAAGGCAGTTCTCTGTACTGCACTCCTCACCTCCGTTCTTGAGTTCAGATCTATGTTTAGTATCGCAGAATTCATAGTTGAGCGGGATAGGTCTGTTTCCCTCACACCTATGCAAAAACAGCGGGTAATGTCCAAGACAGGCCCAAATTCTTAGTTCATTGGATGCATGTACATGCGGGACTCCAGAAAGACATTTTAAAGAACAAATTTCCATTCAAGAGTGGCATGAAAGAAGGAATTTTCTTCTAGCTGCAGACCAACAGCAATGACAGAGTTGGAAGACCTACAAAACTCAACCTCTCCAGGACGTCTGTGGAGCCAGGGGTCTACTGGCAATTTTAACTCTCAGTCTGCATCTTGAACAAACCTGCAGGAGGACAGCCTCTCTAAGGCCTGAAGGGTTCGTGTCCACCATATGGCACACCTGAATTACAGTCTAACACACAGTTTCTCTGCCAGAAATTCCTGCTACCCCTCCTAAGAAGCAGTGGGAAGAAATAATTGTCACAGTGAAGCGTCCATGCGAAAACCATAGCTCCCTGAAAGATAGAGAAGATGCCAGATGTCTTGGTGCTGCAACCATCGGCACTGCGACAAGACTAGAGAGGTCTAGCATGCGCTCACTGTGATTAAGACATTGCTTCCCAAAAAGCAAATGTAACAATTAAATGAAATAAGATTCTTGCTGTGCTGATGGTGGAGATTCTTGCCTATCAGCAAGATATCAGTGTTGCAGTGATTTTTCTGGTAATCTGTCCCATGCTCTTTTCTTGCACCCTGACTGATTATGCCCTGAAGAGATACTACATTCCACAAAGACGTGTTATTGAAAAGAGCACAAGCACAGAGCCAAAGCAAGCCTTGCAATGACTGGTGCCAGTATGAAGGGGTACCCAAAGGGAGGCTACGCAAATGATGTAATCTGAGCATTTTGGACAAGGGAGGATGGTATGTGCTTCTCAAGGCTGTGTATATACCACAAAATACAAAGGGAGACTGCAGGCATGCAACTGCCATGTGCCCTGCATTTTAAGGATGGATACACAGAATAAAAATTTTAATATATTTCCAGAGAGTTTTAACAGTGTATGACAGAAATATATCCCCTCCTAACCCACAGCCATATTTCTTCATCACTGGGGGTATACCTCCTCTGTTCGTGCAACCAGGCCAGACAGAGAAAACTAAACAAATTTTTGGGTGACTGAGGTATTGTTATTTTTAGACGCTGCAAGAAAACTCAGCTGATGATTAAACCACACTGATAGAAATCAGAACACAGCATTTACTTTAATACCAGACTACATGACAACACAAAAAAAAAAAATCTCCAAAACATGAAAGGAAAGCAGGAATTTCCCTGGTACGCTTTAACAGACAGATTCACTGTGAAAGGCTGCGAAATTCAATGTTATAATTTTCTCACTTCAGTTCGTTTGTGTGCTATATATAACTGATATGTATGCCCCAAGAAAATAAAGCTGTAAATCACACACAAGTCCCTTTCTTTTTTCCATCTTTTCTTTTTTTTTAAAGTTTGTTACACTAATTTTCTTAAATTTGTAGGATTTACAACGCCACTGCTTCCATTTCCTTTCCTCTCTTTTCCCTTCGCATAAGAAGCGGTGTGGCTTTGTAATTGTGTACATATTAGTATTGTTATAATAAGTATTATAAAATACAATAACCAACAGTCTGGAAACTGAGGAAAAAAGTGAGTAGTTAAGCTCAGAGTGAAGTTTTCAAAAACTACATGCCATTCCCAGTGTTTTTGTTTCAGAATGCTCAAGTTAAGGCATTTTAGAAGGGTTTTGATCTTTTTCTGAATAGGTAGTCAGTAATCCTTCGCATTACACCTCTGTAAGGTATCTCAGGCCATGCTCATTCAGACATTGCAAACAGTTAAAGCTCCAAGGATGCCAACAACTGTCCCAAAGGCATACAGACACCAGCTCTGCCTCAGCCTAAAGGTCATGCTGACTGGCTAGTTTAAAGCACAAGAGAGCAATTTTTTATTTGTTGATGTCAGACCGTGTAAGGATGCCATCAGCTTAGGCACTCCAAAACCTAAGAAAGAATTTCCCACAAAACAAAACAGAAACAATCCATCTTGTGACTTACTTTTTCGGAAGGAGCTGGTAACATCAGGAACACAATTTTTTTTTGCAGAGAATATGAGGTCATTCTGAGTAACAGGTATATCTGGTTTTTTCAAGATTTGGGGGTTAATTAGCTTTGCAGGGGGAAAAAACCCAGTATTGTGAATCACACTACAGAAACCACGAGACATGAGAGCAGAAAAAGACAGCTAAATTCATAGAGGCTGTAACTCTACAGAGGTAAATGAAGAAATTGTCTACAGAAATTTGGCCCAGCATACTTTTCTTGGAGTGAAGGAACAAAACTCTTCCAGCACTGGGAGGGGAGGGGAGCTGTTCTTCCTGAAGCTCCAGGCCGTCTCCTCTGACACTTGGGATGATAAATCAAAAGGCTGAAACACTCATCATTTTTGTGTGTCTTTGAGAAGTAGGATGACTTACATCACAAGTGTGTTCCTTGCTAAGTCGCTATACTGCCACATATATGACTTCGGTTTAAATAAAGATCATAGAAGAGCTAAGATCCCAGCAGGCTGCAACCAGCAGGGTGCTCGTATCTGCAGTTACCGGGTAATAAGCTATTACACAGTTGGCTACATTCTTTTTCAGTATAAATCAAAGACAGATCAAATTTTAATTTGATTCACTAAATTTATCAAAACGAACTTTGCTGGAGAAGACTAGCTTGCAAAAACCCGGCCATCTCCAAACTTAGAACTGTAATCTTAGGTTGAGTGTTTGAACTGCTTCTTCCCTGAAATATCTCTTTTCTCTCAAAAACAACAGGAAGATTGCATTTGGACTTTTCCAGTTCAGAAACACCAAGTGAGTTCCACTCAGTTTGTATTTTTAAAGTGTGTTGAAAATCCACCAGATAAAAATTAATTACTCCATTTTTATTAATTATATTTAAAAGGCTAATAATAAACATTTGATACTCTTCGGTGCAGAGCTTATGCATATGTGCCTATACACATTACACACATGTCCATATACATATCTTTCATAGTATTTTAAATTACAGAAAAAGAGGTTAAAATAGTAACTTGGTTAATTCAGGGGTAGAATATGCCTTCAATTTACTCTTACTGCATTTACAGCAGCGATAAAATCCACGCTGAAGCTGGATAGTTTCTAAGGTAAACCAGAGGACAAGAACATACATGCAAAAAAAGAAGTTAATGTAATAAGGTCAATTAGTTATAAGTGCTGGTCCTACTGAATGAAATGCAAGGTGCCATTGCTAGGATTTTACCCTGCAAATGTAAATAACTGCCTTTGAACTAATCCTGCAGGAACTGCAGCAAGCGTTCTTAATACTTTGATGATAAACACTAGATATAAATTTTCCCCACCTAGACAACGGCAGGGCACTTACTTCTAATTAGCAATTAATAATGTCCCTCCCTGTTTTGCTATCTTTCTTTGACAATTCACAAAAGTTCTTTCATAAATTCTTTGAAGTGGGGTGCAGGGTTGCACTTTCCAGAGCTGGGTTTTACATATCACCTGTCCACTCTTCCCCTGCTAAACTTCAAGATAAATGAATGTAGTATGAATAAGATGACACAT